CATGATGAAAGAATCATTGATCGGCTGCCTTCTGCATGCAACCTACTGGGGATTGAGGCCGTAACCCCGGCATGCGCCCCTGACCGGAATCAAACCAGGGAGCCTTCAGTCCGCTCTACCCACTAAGCCAAACCAGCTAGGGCTAAACCTGTATGGTTTTGTTAACCAGTGTCACACCAATAAATTCAATACAAAAATTTACCAGCATAAGAAAACCCAAGACAGTCTGAATAAAGTATGGACTTTAGTAGGTAATATATCATTATTAGTTCACTAGTTGTGTCAAAAACCATCTATATATATAAAATCCAGGTGACCAGTTGCTATGATGTGCACTGCAGCAGCCAACTGGCCTGATTGGGGCCCTGATCGGCCCCCCCCAACCTCCCGTGGCCCTTCCCCCCAGCCAACCCGGCCCCCGAACAGCCCCCCCAACCCAGATAAGGGGCAGGACCAGCCGGCCAACCTCCCCCCTGCCAGACCCCACCAGTGCAAGAATTCGTGCACCAGGCCTCTAGTTGAGTATAAATATATAAGAACTCTGTACTATCTTCTCAATTTTCCTGTAAATCTAAAACTTCTAAAATTTAAGATTTTTTAGAAATCATTGCAATTGATTGAAACCCATCAAATATGTTTAAATCCATGAGTTCATAATAGAACTTTAAAACAAAAACTTAGCCCTAACTGGTTTGGCTCAGTGGGTCAGCCTGCGGACTCAAGGGTGCCAGGTTCGATTCCGGTCAAGGGCATGTACCTTGGTTGCGGGCACATCCCCAGTAGGGAGTGTGCAGGAGGCAGCTGATCTATGTTGCTCTCTCATCGATGTTTCTAATTCTCTATCCCTCTCCCTTCCTCTCCAAAAAAATCAATAAAATATATTAAAAAAAACAAACCCAAAACTGTTCAATTTCAGAGGATGATAAGGAACTAATTATCTTGAAAAGTGGTAAATAAAGTGAAAGTATCAAACATTTGTTTTGTTTTTCTCCTGGGTAACCAAATAGTAGTAGATGAGGGGAAGCCTCTCTTTATAACTGTATTCTAGTTAATAAAAAGGAAATGTTAAAATTAAGTGTGTTACCTTTTTGAAACATCTGGAAAATTAATGAATCTAGGCATTGAGCATCAACAGCTGCTGACATTGCAACACATGAGACACATATTATGTGCCATCTAATGAGGGAAGACGGCACCTCCTATAATCATGATGAAGGGATCAACCTGAATCAGATCAAGCCTCTGTATGAACTTGCTAACCTGCAGAATTTCAAAAGAACATGTTGGACTGCGTCCTGACTATTCAATTAACAAAATCCCAGATTTGAGGAACCTCTACAGATCAGATACCCCCAGTTTCTTCAAGACAACATTTAAGGAAGGGAAAGGATGGAAGAGGAACCTCTAGATTAAAAAGATACCAAAATAGCCCTAACTGGTTTGGCTCAGTAGATAGAGCATTTACCCGAGGACTGAAGGGTACCAAGTTTGATTCTGATCAAGGGCACATATCTCGGTTGCAGGCTCGATCCCTGGCCCTGGTTGGAGTGTGTGCAGGAGGCAACCATTGATGTTTCTCTCTGTCTCTCCCCCTCCCTTCCACTCTCTAAAAATCAATGGAAAAATATTTTTGGTGAGGATTAACAACAGAAAACAAACAAAAAAGATACCAAAATATTTTATTATTTTTTAAAAATATATTTTATTGATTTTTTACAGAGAGGAAGGGAGAGAGATAGAGTCAGAAACATCAATGAGAGAGAAACATCAATCAGCTGCCTCCTGCACATCTCCCACTGGGGATGTGCCCGCAACCCAGGTACATGCCCTTGGCCGGAATCGAACCTGGGACCCTTCAGTCTGCAGGCCGACGCTCTATCCACTGAGCCAAACCGGCTTCGGCCCAAAATATTTTAAATGGGCAAGACTAACCTCAAAAATATTTGGCAAAGAAATGAGATACAAGACTACATATTACTTGGTTCTGTTTCTTTGAAATGCCCATAATAGACAAATCTATAGAGAAAGAAAGCAGAATAGTGATTTCCAGGGGCTGGAAGAAGGGAGGGAATGTGAACTAACTGTAAATGGGTACAAGGGGTCTTTTCGGGGTGATAGAATTTTTTTTAATTGGATTGTGGTGATGGAGCCCCAACTCTGTACTAAAGTCATTGAGTAAAATGTGAATGTACAAATGGACAACCCTGGCGTCTTGGGATTCACACTTGGGTTATAAACCTGTAATAAAGTCCAGAAAGTTTGGGGCAGAGGGAGGGTTGTAATTTGGAAGATGCTCATGGAGAAGCTTTGGGATGGGTACAGAAGATCTGTTGACCCAGGTGGAGGCTGTAAAGGTATAGCCTCCTTGTGAAAACTGAAATTATATATATGATTTATAGTATTCTTTATTTTACAATAAAAGTGGGTTTTTTTTTAAAGAACACAAGGCTCCTAAGCTATTAGAGTAGATCAGATCCCCACACATTTCATTCTTTATCATAGTCATGAAACTGTTTCTCATAAGCAAACTCAGAGTTACCAGGAAATGTTCTTTTACCTCAGAAGAGAAAACAATTAGTGCAAAAGAGATATAGCAGTTGGTTCAATTACTTTTGGGTGTATACCGCATGACAAGTGCCATTTGGACCTCAGACCCTATTCCAGGCATGTGCAGAATAACACAGATATTCTCTTCTGATAGGATCAGCTGCCCTGTGATTTCCAATTTTACACACAAACAAAATTGTATAACTAACAGGAAATGGATGGAGGAAGGGAAGTCACCTGTAGTTCCTGCTCCTTAGCATATCACAAATTATAAAATCATACATATTTTTTACTTTAGTGTTTTGGCTTGCTGGGGTTTTGTTGGTTGGTATTTTGCTTTTTTGTGGGACTTTTTCTTTTTGGAGGGTGGACAGGGGTATTTAGCCATTTTAGTAATAATTCTTTCCCAACATAGAATTCATCCTGAGGGGCAACTTTTATGCTTTGGCTTTCTTGTGAAAAGTACTCAGAACACTCTGTCTTACTGTTGAATACCGTATTTGCCGGCGTATAAGACGACTGGGCGTATAAGACGACCCCCTAACATTTCCACTCAAAATACAGAGTTTGTTATATACTCGCCGTATAAGACTACCCCCTCTTCCGCACACCTTCCACACACCAAATAAAAGGTAAAACAATATCAGATTTGATTTTAACATTTTAATTTATATTCAAATGCTTATGACATGCAGGAAAACTGTCACAAGGCTGTATGTAATCAAACATATACATAAAACAGTGCAAGTTTATTACCGGTAAACATACCGGTAATTCACTAAAGAAAACACACTCTATAGACTGGTACCGTAGATGCTTCTCAGGAACACAGGCAAGCAGCCCACAACCTAGAGGGACTGTCAATGATAGAAGAAAGAT